GTAAATGTATTTACTCTTAATCTCAACCACTGGAGACTTGTGTGTACTCAAGGATTTCCTGGGAAACCCTGTAAATCCCCTATGGCTCAGGCAGCGCTTCCCTGATCCTCCTCTAAAAGCTAATAAGGGATTAGGGAGCGTCTGGGGGAAGCTGCTGGGTGGGGAAGGGTGGCCTGGCCAGTCCCCAGGGCTGGTGGTGGGTGCTCCTTCCTCGGGGAGGTTTCTCACCCAGGGACACGTGCTGAAGGTGCTGGCATTGATGCCAGATGGATGCTGCTATTGTTTCTGTAAAGTTTCCCTTGGTTTGAGGGTAGTTTGAATAAAGGTTTGTGCTACACTTGTAGAGCTTCATAGGAAACACGAGGATTTGGAAACGTTCTGGGTTTGTATTTCCAGGGAACCTGGTGAAAAGCAGGTTTTATGGAATACATATATTAAAATGATTTATCTGAGCTTCCTGCTGATTGGTTGCAAAGCAAGTGTGGAGTCCTGCCATCATGAGACTGAAGCTTGTGCTGCTTGGAGGGTCTGAAGCGATAAAGCTTCCCATTGCTCAGGTCTGGTGATGGCCAGGAGGTTCACTGAGGTGAACTCTGATATCAAAATTACTCATGAGCTCACGCTGCTCACAGCAACTCTTTGATGATGTAGAGTGCTTAAGAGGGATGCTTCTAAGAATAAAGAGGCTTAGCTCCTCCTGATGATGGTGTTCCCCTTCCTGGGGCGATGCATCCACCCCTCCTGGGCTCTGCCCTCGCTGCTGTTCCAGCCGTTCCCAGGGGAAGGCTTTCTTCTCAGTCACCAAGCAGCAAAATAACTGAATTCAAGAAGCTTAAAAAAATTCATGGTCCTTTCTCCCCTTTGTCCCCCAGCCATAATACAAACAACTTTCTCCTTTTCAAGTGCTCCTAATTGCTCCAGCAAAAGGAGGGCTTTGAGGGGCTGAAGTTGCTGGAAGGTTTGCTCCTTCCAGTGCATGCCATGGAAAATGTCAGAGCTGCTGGAGCCCGGAGAGCCACCCCACAGCATGGCATGCTCTTGCTAAAGAGATGGTATCTGGGTCACCGAGCTTGCCCTAGCCAGGGGTCAGGGATCCAGCGATTAGGATTCACCATGGCTTAATGCATGGCTGCTGGCAAGGTCCCTCTAAGAATGACTAAATGGGAAGCTATGGCATGAATCCCTATTTCATTTATTTTTTTTCTTTTTATTTCCTTTATTTGGCTCCTTCTCCTCTTTCAGGTGCCCCGGGTATGGGCACATCTCACCACTGCTCTTGCACAGGCGCTGTCCCTTACCGCAGGCACCGTGGCAGCTCCTGCGTGCTGGCTGCATTCAACTAACTTTAATCAAACCTCTTGACTTCTTGGGCAGAAGCTATCCCTAGTATCCAGAGTCTGGTTTGTCCTCTTGAAAGCCTAATGAATTTTGACAAAACCCATCAAATCTGCTTTGCAAAGGAAATCACTCAGCTGGTTGCTCAAAATTAAAGTGATTGCATATTAACTTGTGCCATTAAAAGGTCTGTCCGCCTGGAATTTAACAGCTGCTGCATGAATTTCTACTCTAGACAGTGTGTTAATAATGTCATGCTAATGCAAATATGAAAACAGGGGGAAAGCTAGATAAGGTTAAGCGGTGTCTGCTAGTGTACTTAATATAATAAGCGATAAAGCTGTGCTTTGCATCCTGTTAATTCATAGGAGGGTTGCTGGGTGGTACCGGGAGGCAGAGCTTCGTGTTGCACTGACGTTGCTATGTTTCCCTTCACCTTCTTTGTCTTGCTTTTGGGTTTTTCCTTCCCAAATCTTGTCTGCTTGTCCTAGGGGCTGCATCCCTGCAGCTCACGCATTGCTCTGTATGATGCTCATGTGCAGGATGAGACCCAAAGCACCCTGTCCTCTCTCCAGCGCTGAGCTTTCCCCATACATGCCAGCTCCTCCCCAACCTGTGAAAAGAGGGCAAAATTAATTTTTTTCCATGGGAAAACTTAAAGAATACGAAAAATCAGATTTTTCTTTGTAACTTTTCTTGGCATGATTTTTGCAGTGGAGTTCGGGTGAAGGCCATAGCTGACCCAGGGGCTCTGCGGGTCTCCCCAGGCAATGGGCAGCTCTCACCCCATGTCCCGAGCATCCATCAGGGCAAAGAGCTCCTCCTGGGTGCCCAGCGCAGCAGGGGCACCCGATGTACCAGGGCCCCGAGGAAACAACTGCTGAATGTTTTAGGTATTGAGCTGGTTTTAGTGAAAAGCAACATTTTCCTAAATCTTCCCCTCCACCCCTTTGGAAAATTCAACTTGGTGGAAAACTAACTTTTTGATCAAAGCTGTTTTCTAGGCTCTGCATCAGAAATACTTTATTTTTTATTTAAATGAAGGACTTGTCTTCTCTAATGATTTTCCTTGTATTATGGCCCAAGTACTTTTGGCACTTGGTCAGTCGATGCTCCTTCTTGGGCTTTGCTTTTCCTGGGACTGTTGGCTCCCAGCACGGAGATCTTAGTGTTTTGGGGGGGGTCACTGGGGGCCATTGTCCCCGCTGTGCAGGTTTGGCATGATGGGGACTTCCCAAGGGGCTGTCTTTGCGTAAAAGGAAAATTTAAAATCCACAAGTGGTGTGTACTTTAATGTATTGCCCTTCCTGTGGGATGCTCTGGTGTTTGCAATGGTGCTTGATGTAATCTAGGCAAAGAAGAGTATCCTGGGGGGATGAAGGTCTGGGGGGATTTGGGGCCAGGATGGGGGGTTCAGGGGACCATCCCTCCGGCTGTGGCATCAACCAGAGCCACTGGCTGCCAGAGGTTTGGGTCACCCTGGCAAAACTGTCAGAAAGTCACTTTGCTTGTTTTTATTCCTAAAAATGTGAACTGATTTATAATAGTGCTGATAAAACCCAAGTCTAGGGCATTAACCAGGAAAACGCCTTTTCAGCTATTTGATAATGTCAGAAATGTTGTGTACATCAATCACTGCTGCTTATCTGGGGCGAAGCTGCCAGGTACATGCAGGGAAGAAAATGCATTAGTGGATGGCAGGATGCAGTTAAGGGTCCAGGGCTGACGTGGCAGCTCAGATCTGAGCCAGGTTGTTGCTGATGGGCAGAAGGATCAAAATTCAGGCTCTCTGAGCCAGCTGAAGTGATGCTGTCGGCAGCTGAAGGAGGAGACAGGCGCAGCTGCCCCATCCCGGCTCTTCCATCCATCCCTGCCCTGACACCCCTGAAATTGGCCCTAATGGAGGTTAAAATCACACCGGCAGGTATCAATCACCGAGGGGAAAATGAACCCTGTGCCATATGGGTAGGGAATTTGCGTAACATGCCCTAATTAGAAAGAGGCTCATGAGTTAGAAATCAGTCTTGCGTTAAGTGCTCATCACAGACTGGCTAATGGGGATGTGATCCTGTGCCTGTCACACGCCGGGGAATTAATGAGCGTTTGTAAGAGACTGTACTGAAGGGCAGAGGGGAACGACTGCCGATGACCCTGTTACCCAGCCAGCGATGGAGCTGAAGGTGTCCATTTGTTCACATACTGAAGGCAGCGAGAGCAGGCACCTATTTTTTTCACTTTACCTCAATAACTGAAATGACCCATATAACTAAGTCCCCGGTGTTTTAAGCCCAGCCTAGTTCTCATCTTCTATATGGGCTGTGTCCAAGGGATGACTTAGAGCTGTTGTAGTAATTTGAGCAAGAACTGGCTTTTCACTCTAATAATAGTGCTGATGAAATTTTAAAATTGATAAAGTGGGCTTGGGGAGGGTTGGGTTTGCCTGTGTTTCTCAGTGGCTCGAGTGCCAGTTTTCTGCATCTCTGTCTCTGGCCAAATCCAGGCAGGCAGAGCTGCTCTGCCCGTGCATCCCGTGCTGGTCCTGGCAGGTGTTCACCGGAGCTGCGACTGCCCGTGCAGTGCTGCAGCGGGCACTGTGGCTACCTGGCAATTAGCAGCCCCGTCTCCCTGGGAGCAAATTAATTCAAATAAACCTTCCCAGCAGCGATGTCGCAGGGGTGAGTCCCCGGGCCTGATCCGGCTGCCCAGAGCGCTCCTGGCTGTTGCCCTTAGCTGCGGATGGTAAAAATGCAGCGTGTTATCCTCGGTGTGTTTCTTTGTTCATGTTAAATGGAGCCAGGAGCTTAATACATTAAAAGGTCAGGGCTGGAAGGGCTATGAAATATTTAGTGGCTGTGTCGTGCTGACCTAGTTAGCTTGCACGCTCTGAGTGTGCCACCACCTCCGGGCTGCGGCAAGGAGCCAGCAGAGGGGAAGGAAGGACGGTGGGGTTGCCAGCCCTGGAGACACCCTGCAAGGTCCCTGCAAAGAGCAGGGGGTTCCTGCAACCCATCTGCGATGGGAACCTTAAGGGGAGGCTGTGCTGAGTGCTGTGCGCCGTCCTCTGCTGCGGAGCTCTGCAGGTCCTCGCTCTGCTGCGACGGCAAGACCAGACCATCCCCAAAAGTCTTGCAAGGATTTCCATCCGTGTGGAAGGAACCCATCAACTGGTGTAACTGTTAAGTTATTAGCTTGGTTAAGCAAGAGTGTTTGTGATCCTGAAGCCAGTGGGGATTTGTTCTGTGGTGTACACAGACAACATCGCTCAACATCGCTTCTGAAGTTTGGGAGGAAAGTACCAAATGTTTCATGTGTGACCCAACAGCTGATCTGCCTCAAGTCCCTTCCAGCCCTTTTGCCCCTGGTTTCAGATGGTCATGCAGAGATTTCCTACTGCGCTGGGGCTGGGCGGGTGCTCACACAGAGTAGCCCCATGGGGTTGTGTTTGCAGAAACCCCTTCTCATATGTGGATCAGCTGCAGATGCCCTGGGAATACTGATGAGGTAAAACCAATCCTCAATTCAACCAGGTGTCTCCTCCAGCCAAAAACCCCATCCTGGGGCGAGCTACGGAGCTTTCTCCCCTAACAAGGCTCCAGCCTTAAAAAAGACCAATTTTATACCTGAATTTTTTTTCCCCTCTTTTTTTGGTTTATTTTAAATTACAGACAGGCCGGATCGAACCAAACTACCCCAAAGTCTGTGGTCACCAGGGCAACGTGCTGGACATCAAGTGGAATCCCTTCATTGAGAACATCATCGCATCATGCTCCGAAGACACCTCGGTGAGCTGCAATGCTTCAGGCTGGCACCTCCCCGGAGTCATGCAGCTCTGTGAACCCTCCTGCCTTCAATTTATACACCCAGAGGCATGGGAAGGGGCTGCTGGAGGCACTGTGGGTGGGTGATGGCTCAGCCGTCTTGGGAACAGAGAGGGAGTAAGAGATTGGTGCAGAGCCATAGGCAAACCGTGCCAATCCCTGGCTCCTGTGTCAGTGGTGCAGGGGCTGTGGCCGGTGCCCAGCTCCTCTGCTGTCCCCAGTGTCCCTTATCGTCACAGCACTGCTCTTTCTGCATCCCCTGCTGCAGATAAGCTGTACAGCTGTGCACAATGAGTTTTTTTGTGGGTTTTTTTGTTTTTTTTTTTTTTAACAAGCCCAACAGCAATGCTATTATTAATCCTTCATGCTCTTGGGGACCGCAGGGGCTGCAACTGCTCTCGTGGCCTGATCCATCAAGTGATACAAGCAAAAGGCAGCTTTGCAGGCTGGGGGATAATGAATCAGGTCATCTTTACGTAGCTGTTATTTGCATCCTCCTCCTTTTTATTTTCTGGATGCAAACAAGTCCATCCTAAAGGCTGTATCACAAAGGAAAAAAAGCCTTTGTACAAGGGAGAGGATCAAAAACCATCACCCGTTCTGCATGGCAGAAGGTGGGGTTTGGGGTGATCCAGTTTTTAACCAGTTACAAATCTGCCTTGCCTGATCCTTAGTGTTTCACAGTATTATCACCTAATGTCTCATCCTCTCCAGTTCAGTATATTGGCATTTTTTATTAGCTGAAAGCTTGTCAAGGAAGATATCGAGTAGGCAAAAAAATGCAGATCATGGCCATGAATCATGGTGAGCTGTCTCCCACCTTAAATTATAACATTTTATATACAGTCGCTGGGGAACAGGGGTACTGGGAGGGAGGGAGGATACTGGGAAGACTTCATGAGTCATTGTTAAACCTGGAAAATTAAATTAATTGCCCCTGAGGCTGTCTGGTGTTGGGGGGGTCCCGATGGAGATTAGTTGGAGGGGATCAGCCCCGCAGCTGGGTGGGCTCATGGCTCCTGGTGCCACCCCATGCCCAGGGTGCTGCTTATGGGCAGGTCCTGCACCTTCGGGCTCTCCACTCACTCCCAGGAGGTTTAACAAGGTTCAGGCCAACAGTCTTTATCAATGAGAGAGGATGCTCAGGTGCTTGAGGAGTCTGAGCTGCAGAAAACAGAGTATTTGCATGCTATTTGTCACCCGGAGGCACTGCCGGTCCCAGGCTGGGGACACCACCGCCACGGGAGACATGGAGGACCTGCCATGTGCACCGCTAGCCTGGGGGGAGCATGGTGATGCAGCCAGCCGGTCCTGCTCCAGACTCGTGTCTTTTCTCCATCATGCCCTATGCAGGGAGGATGACGTGTGCAGCCTTGTCCCTGGGACATCGCTATGGGTTAATCCTCTCCAAGGCGGTGATGAGGATTTCACATCTCAGCAGCACCCAATATTAATGGCCATGGTTAGATGCTGCCTTGCGGGAGAGTGATGTCTCTTGCAGCCCACCTCGGTTGTCGCTCTGCTTGAAATCCCTCCTGTAATTTCTCCCTTGCTATCAACCCCATATCCATCCATACCCGTCTGTCGCTGCTCAGATAACTGTGTCTGTCCTTGCCTGATGCTCTCCCTTGGAGCACCAGGACTGATAATTCATTATTTGTCTTTGTGGGACAATTAGCAACAGGGCTGATTCTCAAGTTCCTGGTCCCTGCTGCGATGCTGCGAGCTGCTGAAATGCTGTGAAGACTTTTTGGGAAGGAGCTTTTAAAGGACAAACCAAGTGGGAAGACTAAAAGGGGAATTCCCCAATCTCTGTAGGTGTTTCAGGCTCCACATTTTCCTTGTGCTGGAGCTCTCTGTGCACTCAGGCGCAGTGAGCTGATGTGGCGTGCAGAGCTAGAGGGGGGATTTTGCAGCACGGTGTCTTGTTTGCAGGGTACCTCTCATTGTGGAAAGGGACGTTTCAGGTAAAATTTTATCAAGAAGGTTTCTTAGGATGGGTTGGGAGAGGAAGTCTTTGGTTTCACAGGCTGCGTCCCACCCCAGCTGTGCTCTCTGGTGTCAGGGGAGGAGGGGGAGGGAGGTGCTTCTAGGGCTGTTCCTCTGGGTCTTTTTTTTAATGAGAATTTTCCAAAAGCATCATTTCCATCCCAGGATGGGACAAGGTTGTGAAATGCAGTGCTTGATTTTTGAGTTAGCTCCAGCTATGCCTATACTGGCAACAGAATGGCACTAGTACTGCAACCAGTTCTGACACGTCTATTTTCAGGTCATAGTGACCATGGTAATGGGGAAACCTGCCTAAAATAGCCTGTCCCTGGCACTCACCCCCTTTTTTTGCAAGACACGAGGAATGATGCAACTCTGTTAGGAGCAGACCGCAGGAGGTGATGCTGTGCTGCGAAACCCTGGCGATGATTCCCAGCTGAGCGCAGATGCAGGACACATTTAATAACCATCCTTTAGGCTACCTGCACAGCAAAAGGCAAGAAGTAGCTCTTATTTGAGCAGACCCTGACGATGCAGGGACCCTAACGCTGCATGTCCCACCCCCCCGGGTTTGATGCCGCATCCCCCAAGCAGCGAGCATGCAGCAGGCACCTCTGCGGCATGCAGAGCTCGCTCAGAGCCCTTGTGGATGCAGATCGCTGGAGCGAGGCGCAACCGGAGGTTTGGTAACAGCCGTTTCGTAAGCCGCCGCTTTCGTAACCGGTTCCTTTGACACCCAGCAATCAGGGTCGTGTTGCTTGTTCCTCGTGTTGTGCATTGTTTGAAAACCGCTGATGCTCTCAGAATTGTCCCTCCGAGCCAAACCAGCCTCTTAACCATGTCTCTGTCATAACGCCGTTTCCTCTGCATGCCACGCAACCTGAAGAGCAGCGTCTTCCACCTCTAAATGTGCAGGTTCAGGCAGAAAACTCACCACTCCACCTGTACGTCCTTATGCAGTTTTTTCGCTGCGATATTGCAAATTAACTTTTGCCCCCCTTGCCCCAGCTGTAGCTCAGCCCCCGGCTGGATGGGGTCACCTTTGGGGGTGCTGGAGAAGAGAGGGAGAAGCGACCAAAGGGACAGCAGGATCAGTCCTCCCTGGGTAGCAGCCTCCCAGACATTCCCTACGTTTTGGAAAAGCTTTATTTCCAAAGCAAAGCTCGTTGGGGCAGCATGGCCCCAGCCACTGCATCTGCCCAAAGGCAAGCTTGTCTTTTGAGATGCTGGTGGAGGAGGCGAAAGGGAACCTGCACAGGCTGTGTGCTGCATTTGATATGGTTTGGCTTTTTTAATGGGTGTTACTTAAAGCGTTGTGGTGTGTCTGTAACTGATAGAGCTGGGATGAGATGAAGGCTCTGAGAAGGATGAGTGTGCTGGCCAAGGCAGCCTGCCATGGGGAGGAGATGAGAGTGCAAAGCTCAGTCGTTCCATCTCTTCACCTGAACGTGGGGACATGTATGCACCACCAAACGCTGCTGGGTTTCGGAAGGCTTTGAGAAGCCACAGCGCTGGCAGGACCCCAGGTCTTGCTGCTCGTATGGGTGCAGAGAGCTCGGGCACGGAGCAGGCCGAGGTGGGGTTAGATATATGTGACGTGTCAGTTCGGCTTCATACCAGAGACCTGCCATGAAGATGAAAGCATCTCTAACCGCTCTTTGATAGTATTATGTGGAGCTGTTTAATTGAAGAGGAGACACTACAGAAGCCTTATTCTGTCCCAGTGCACCGCCTCCTTTTGTTCAGCAAGCACCTTCAGTGCGGAGGCTTTTCTGGCTTGTTTTTAACCCAGGTTCTCCTCACTGGTGGCGGTGGGGGTCTCTCCTGGCCCCGCTCCCCTGGAAGCGCTCCATCGGCTTTATCGGGTCCTTCTCCTCAGCACCCGCAGTCCAGGTGTGATCAACCCCAGGACATCCATTAGGGTGCAGGATGAGGCTGCTGGCCTTGGGGCACCGTGGGGATTCAGCAGCTCAGAGCCCTCCTGGGTGGGTGTCAGGGTCCTCCTGGGGCTCCCAAATCCATCCTGACGCCCGCCCCGTCCCGCAGGTGCGGATCTGGGAGATCCCCGAGGGAGGCCTGAAGAGGAACATGACGGAGGCTGTCCTGGAGCTGTATGGGCACAGCCGGCGCGTCGGCCTCGTCGAGTGGCATCCCACCACCAACAACATCCTCTTCAGCGCTGGCTATGACTATAAGGTGAGCCCTGCCCCGCGCGGCTGCTGCCCAGGACTGCCCTTGCAAAGGCTTTCCCTGCTCGTGACACAGGTGGGAGTCACTTGTGTGCAGGCAGGGCAGGATCCTGCTGGCTGGAATAAAATGACCCACCGTGTCTGCAGCAGACAGTACCTTCCCTCATGCAAGGGTCTTGCACCCAGTCTTAAGGACTATTGTAATTTTGCACAAGCAGCAGCTGCAGGGCGGCCCTGGGAGGATGGAAGGGGGGTCTGTAAGGGATGAGGGGGCGATTTCAGCCAAAATAGGAGATATTAAGATGCCTGAAGCAGATGTGGAGGTTGCAGCAGGGGTGGGGGGTCTCCTGGAGTGGAGATGCCAGGGCAGCCTCCCCGCTTCCCACAGGTCCTCATCTGGAACCTGGACATTGGGGAGCCGGTGAAGATGATCGATTGCCACACGGATGTCATCCTCTGCATGTCTTTCAACACCGATGGCAGCCTCCTGGCCACCAGCTGCAAGGACAAGAAGCTGCGGGTCGTGGAGCCGCGTTCCGGCAGGGTCCTGCAGGTGCGGTGCTCATGCCGGGGGGCTGTGTGCTGCATGGGATAGGGGGGTTAGAAATAAGATCTTAGGGAGGAATCCCACTGAAAACACATAAAAACATTTGCAAGGTACTGTACGTACTCATGATGTGATGTTGTGCATGTGTCAATGTCTGCAGGTAATTCTCTGCTTGTTGTTAAAATTAGGTGAAGGTGTTGGGGAGGGCTTGGCTTCATTCCAAGCATGGGAGTTGGAAGCTTTTATTCTTTTATTAAGTAAGGATTTGTGGAAAATAGAAATTAGGCAGGGTGTGTGTGTGCAGAAAGTCCCAGAAAGAGCCACAGTTTGGAGGAAGACAGTGGTTTCTCAGTAAAGGTGATATCTAATATTTAGGGAGATGATAGGCATTTTCATTTTGCACAGGGGACAGGTGTTGAATCACCGTACCTCCATCCTGGCTGCCACCCCACCAGCACGGAGCTGATGCTTCACCGGGATGAGGCGGGAGAGGCATTGGGGGGGCAGCAGGTTGGGGTACCTGCCAAAGAAGGGGCTTTCCTGGGATGAGGGTCAGGTCTGGGGGCCGCAGCGGGGGGGTGGCTGGCGGTGAGCATGCTCCTGTCTTGCAGGAGGCCAGCTGCAAGAACCACCGTGTCAACCGGGTGGTCTTCCTGGGCAGTACAAAGCGGCTGCTGACGACAGGGGTGTCACGCTGGAACACGCGACAGATTGCCCTCTGGGACCAGGTGGGTGCCAGGACCCCTGCTCCGTCCCCGCTGGGACCCCTGCTCAGCACGAGCATCGGGACAACTTGGTTAATAAAGTGCTTTTCCCTGTTGTGCAGGAAGACCTGTCCATGCCCCTGATAGAGGAGGAGATTGATGGGCTCTCAGGTCTCCTCTTCCCTTTCTATGATGCCGACACTCACATGCTGTACTTGGCTGGCAAGGTACGGGCTGTGCTTCGCGTCCCGCAGCTGTGGGAGCTGCGGCATCTCCCGGGGAGGTGAAGGGGCCGCTCTCCAGCAAACTGTGTGGGGGAGAAGCGCCGTCCTGGAAGGAGGGCTGTCCTGAGCCCCAAGCAAAGTGTTACACAGCTCTTTGGCCACGAAACCCTGGTTCGGAGAGGTGCCTGCCAGTGTTGCATGAGTGGGCAGCCTCCTGCTGGGTGATGCACAGGGCTGCAGCATCCCCAGCCTGTATCCCTCCAGCATTTCCCAAGGACAGGGTGCTAGGGGTTGTTATCATGGTCTTTATTCAACCTCATGTTTGCCAAAGCACTAAACCATCCCTCTTCCCTGCACTCACTCCAGGGCGATGGCAACATTCGGTACTATGAGATCGGCTCGGAAAAGCCCTACTTGAGTTATCTCATGGAGTTTCGCTCCCCAGCACCGCAAAAAGGACTGGGTAAGGATGGCTGTGCTGCTGACCCTTCGCTCTGAACATGCAAAAGGTAGATGATGGAAGGCGCTTAATTAAATGCCACAGGCAAATGGGTTTGGCATGGGTTTGGCAGGCACTGTGCCAGCTCTGGAGCATCAACACAGGGCTGCAGTGCTTGCAGGGTGGTGTTCCCATTGCTGTGCTCTTCCTCTTGCAGTGATTCAGCCAGGCTGGGGCTGGGTCCCAGCCAGGCGCACGCTCGGTGACACCCTTCCTGCTGTCACACATGCCACGGCTTTACCAGGGGACATCAGTCAGCGATTCATGTGATTTGTCCTGAATAAAAGCTGCTCATGCCTTTCCCAATGTCCCTGCAAACGCCTTCGGTATGGCCCAGGTCTATGCCCCAGGTCCCCAGAGTGATGGCAGGGATTAATTCAGCAAGGATCTGGGTCTCCAAATGGAGAACGAGGACCTTTTGGGGTCCTCCGTGCTGGGGAGGTGGATGGGTCCCAGCTGGCTGCCTGGGGTTCGCAGCACCCGGGGGTTATTGTCTGTGCCTCCTCCGCAGGGGTGATGCCGAAGCACGGGCTGGACGTGTCGGCCTGCGAGGTCTTTCGGTTCTACAAGCTTGTCACCCTCAAGGGGCTGATCGAACCCATCTCGATGATTGTGCCGAGGAGGGTGAGTCCCTTGGGGCGTGGGAACAGGCTGGCTGGGGCAAGTGGCATATGGGGGTGTCCAAAGTGGGTCCAGTGTGATGGAGATGCCCCCGCTTGCACCGCTTTGCTGACCAGTCTGATCGCTGGGTCTCTTTGCACCAGTCTTAGACCTCCCAGTCATTACACTTCCCAGGCATGGGATTCCATGGGGGTTTTACCCAAAGCTGAATGGGAATGTTTTTAGAAAATGCATCTCTGCATTGCTCCTGGCCTTGATGCAATCGATTTGTGCAAAATCAGCTTGGTCCATTGCGACGGGCAGGAAGGGGCTTGTCTCACCTGAGGTTTGGGGGCTGTTTCTGGTAAAAATATATCTCAGAGGTGGACCTGGAGCAGGGTTTGGCGTTTGCCTTCCCAGCACCATCTGTAGCTGGAAGCAAACCCAGCTGCCGGCCAGGGCTGTGTGGAGGAGCCGGTCCTGGGCTCTGCCGCAGCTCAGCAGCCGCTCGTCCTCCTACGGCCCCTTGGCACTGCTGCTGCCAGTGGCCAAGCCAGCATTTCCCAGATCCACCACGTGTGCCCTGAGCAGGCAGCGCTGGCATTTCTCATCTAACTTAATGGTGCAAACACCAGTTTATTGCTTCCCCAGATGCCTTGGGTGGGTGCATTGCTGCATGCCAAAGGAGTGAGCGCAATCGTTTGCAGCACATTGCGACGTGTAGTTAAAATCGTGAGCAGATTCACGGAGGCACTTGCTTTTCTTTCCCCGTGTTTTCAGTCAGAAACATACCAAGAGGACATTTACCCGATGACTCCGGGTACGGAGCCAGCCCTGACGCCGGATGAATGGCTGAGCGGGGTGAACAGAGGTAAAGCCCCCGGTGCTGCGCTGGGTGGGCGGCACGGAGCCCCGAAAACAGCCGGGCAGTGGGATGGGACCGCAGCCCTCCCTGACCCCCTCCCGCGCTCTGCCCCGCTCAGATCCCATCCTGATGTCGCTGAAGGAGGGCTACAAGAAGACATCCAAAATTGTCTTTAAGGCACCAGTGAGGGAGAAGAAGAGCGTCGTCGTTAATGGCATAGACCTGCTGGAGAACGTGCCGCCCCGGACAGAGAACGAGGTAGGGCAGCGCGGCCCCGGCATGGGGCACGGGAGGGGACAGTGGCTGGCTTGGGGGGGACATTTTCTGGGTGCAGTTTGGAAAGGCGCCACTCTGCGGGTCTCTGCCTGTACTCCCAAACTGAGGTACCCAGTCACCGCGTTTCCCTGTGACTTGAAGCATCCCGCTCCGTATTTACCACAGAGCAACTGAAAGGAGTGACGTTAAGCTCCTAAACTTTTTTTTTTTTTTTAATTAAAATCCTTCTCTGGGAACAACATACAGCAGTGCTGGGGAAACATCAGCACTTGGTCCTGGAAGGCATTTCTTTTGCCAGAGCCGAGTTTGCAGATTGCATGTGTAGGGTATCCCCAAGCTGAGGGGTAAAATATTAAATCTGAGAGAGCAGGCAGCATGGCAGATGTGGTCGTGTTGCAAAAGCAGCCAAGTTATGAAATGGCCCCAGCACGGCTCCAGGGGCTGGCAGGAGGGCGAAGCCCTGGGGGCAAGTGGCTGGAGCGGTCCCTCCAGCTCCCTCCTTCCCTTTCAGCTCCTTCGGATGTTCTTCCGACAGCAGGACGAGATCCGGCGGCTGAAAGACGAGCTCTCGCAGAAAGACATACGGATCCGACAGCTACAGCTGGAGTTAAAAAACTTGCGTAACAGCCCGAAGAATAATTAACTTCCAGGGACGTTTTATAAATAAACTTTCTTTGTTTATACTTGCTCTTTAATTTTATTGTATCCACTTACACAGAATATGAGCCAGAAGTCAAGTGACCTGCCAAGAGCCCACTCGCTAACTGGAAATACGTCCTCCTAGTCTTGTCTAGCACTAAAACCGCTATAACCGAAGGCTACTGCATGAGAGGCAGCTGGGGCATCCACGTGCCCCAGCGATGGTCTTGGAGTAAGTAGACGAGCTGTGTCCCCTCCGTCGGGAATAACCGGCACAGGGGAGCCGAGGCGGCGGCGACTCCCTGGGAAGGCGCGATGCTTTGTTGCTATTAATTTTTTTCCTATGCAAAAATGTGACAGCGGGTGCAGAACTGGAACGGGGTGCAGGAAGGGCTTAATTCACAAAAGCACGCTGCCACGGCGGTGGCCCGGGACCCTTCCCATGGTGGTGGTGCTGCTGGGTGGGCTCCAGCATGGCCAGGCTTTGGGAGGAGCAGCCTGTGAGTGTCCCCAGGCTACAGCCTGGGGAAGGGAGCTGCTCCGTGTGCAAGTATGTGTGCGTGCATGCATCCGTGCACATGCACCTATAGCCTTCTTTAAAAAAAAAAAAAAAAAAAAAAGGGGCCGGGTTTTCTAAGCAGGGATGGATTTTTGCTCCCTCTGCAAAGAGGGATTTACCCTCCTCCAGTCTGCTGGGACATGTGCCAGTGCCACAGGGAGGGGGGAAGGATGCTACCTGGCTCGCCCTGAGGGTCCCCAGGCAGACACCATGGTGCTGCCCCAAGGGATGGACCCAGGGGATGCTGAAACTGTGTGGGTGCTCGATGGGCTCAGCACATGTGTACAATCATGAGTTTTTGTGGATTAGGCCTGTAGCACAGGGAACGACACCAAATACTGCTAGTTTACCTATATATATATTTTCACTAAATCGAGTTGCTGATCTGCCCAGCACTACCAGTGCAACGGTTTCTCCTCTCTTAATTCACATCGTGCCCTGCACCCACTGCTTCCCCCTCTTTACGTTCAATGTGCTGTCATTGCCTATTATTTATGCTACCATGGAATAGTGATGAAATAAAATGTTTTCAAGATACCAAAACCTTGCCCACTCCTTTCTTTCTCTGCTGAGAGGCCATGCATGAGCGCTGGCCCCCACCGAGAGAGGGTGGTGGGACCCAAAGGGACATTTTTGGGTGTGCACAAAGGTGTCCTCTGCTTGCCCTGGGCTGGGTTGGCTGGTTTGGGCTCCCTGGCAAGGCGAGTGCTGCCGGGGGGAGATGCTTGCTGGAGGGACTTTGCTGGATGGGGGAAACAGCCAAAGGCGAATCGTGGACTCAGAGAATGGTTTGGGTTGGAAGGGACATTTAAAGGTCATCTAGTGCAACCCCCCTGCAATGAGCAGGGACATCTTCAACTAGACCAGGTTGCTCAGAGCCCCATCCAACCTGACCTTGAATGTTTCCAGGGATGAGGCATCTACCACCTCTCTGGGCAACATGTTCCTGTGCCCCACCACCCTCATCGTAACAAATATCTTCCTTGTATCTAGTCTGAATCTCCCCTCTTTTAGTTTAAAACCCTTGTCCTATTGCTACAGGCCCTATTAAAAAGTCTGTCCCCATCTTTCTAATAAATGTCCTATGCTGAAACCAGCCCCAAATTTGCAGGTAAAATGCAGTGGTTCTGCAGCTGCCCTGGCTCCCCATGGCACTGCAGCCAGGCATGCGAGCAAGAGGGCAGCGCGAGGGATGCCGAGATGGAAATAGAGCTTTAAGCTTTATTTCCTTCATTTTCTGTGCTGAAGACTGCGTTAGCATTTGGTGTCAGGACTGGAGTTTCCTAGGTTTATTGTGTCTCATAACTGGGAGGAGAAACCACTTTTTACTCACGTCTTGGCTGCTTCGTGCAGAGCAGCAGTGGCTTGGTCCTGTTTGAGGTTATTTATGTCTTATGGCCTTAGTCAAAGGGGGTGTGTTGGGACTTAGAGCACTAAATTATCTCTTGTAAGGGAAGAGCCAACATTTCTCCAAAGCCCCTTGAATCAATACGAAATGAGCCCAATTACAGCTGCGGGTAGTGATGATTAATGAGCCAATTAGCATATCTGCAAACATCAGCACAAATCTAGTGGCGATTGCTGCCTCTGTTGCAGGTGACAGGGACATCTCGGGGGTGCAGGCGACTGATGCAGGATGCGGCCCCATGGGGTGGCTCTGGGTGGGCTTTAGTGTGCAGCACACCTTTGCAAATCATGCTCAAGGGACTCCCAAAATGTTTGGGATTCACTGAAAATCTCCAGCCCAAGTTGTGATTGTGCAGTTTCCAGGGCAAACCCTTCACCAGCTTCTCACTGCTCCTCTTCTTGCACCTTTCCTCCCAAACTCCCCTGTCAGTAACAGCTTGAGCTTTTCCCGACATTTCCTCCTCCACCATCTGGGTGCTATTTAAAGCAGAAAGCCCATTTTTGGGGGCACTTGATACATCTAATTTTAGCACCAAATTCCCTGCACTGCTGCAACCTTATGACTCGACCATGGAGCAGGGGCCCAACGCAGCTGGGTGCAATCCTGCATTGCTGCAAGGACCCACTGCATCACCCCTCATCCCGGTGATTTGGGGTCACTTGGGAACCATGAGACCTGCTCCTGCACTGCCCCATGTCCTTGCCCTTTGCTCTTGATGAGCCTGTGGTTCTCTTGTGGGTTTTTTAGTTGCTTCCACGTAGTTCAGCATTTGCCAGGGTCTAAATGAGACCAACGAGTCTGTAACCTCCCAGCTTTTTTTCTCCCGTCCTTCTTGCAGACATTACAGTTTCTTTAAAGCCTCCCAACTGCTCCTTGCTCCTGCAGCGCTAGCAGAGCTGATCCCTTGCTCTCCAGGCCCAGCTCCTCCAGGACCCCTCCAGAAACTTTATCCAGCTTCTGTAATTCACAAACATCTAATTTATCTGCATTTCCCAAGCTGTCCCTATCCAAACCCAGGCTGAGGTCTCACCCTTCCTGTACTGCTGCTAATTGCAATTACCTCTCCATCACAGCTGACATCTTCCGGGATAACAGGCTTTAAGGAAAAAGGCTTAAAGATCTCAGCTGTCCGTAGCAGACAGTCCCTTCCTTCTTCAAACGGGGCCATGGGGTGATTTCTTCCCTACTTTGTTTTTCCCGTCCATATTAATGCTGTCCCTCTGTGCTCATCCTTATCAACCTGACCTACTTTCTGCTTCCTCGAGATTTCGCTTTGTTTGAGGCTTGGCCTCCTCGTATGTTTCCTAGCTGCAGGATTATTGTTAATTCTCTGTTTTCCAACATTTTGTGAGTGCCTACTTGAAAAGATTTCTGGTGATTAAAAACCCCCTGAATTTATAGTTGAAGATGTAGGATCTGGTTTTTGAAATCTAAAATTAAGCAAATGCAGAGAAGCCACTATGGGTTTTATTTTAATTAAATGGGAGTTTCCCATCGATTTGCTGAGGATGACACTGGTCCTTCCCTTTTCTGACATCCTTAAAATCAAGGGGTGCTTTGCACTCACAGAACTTGGCCCCGCTTGGCTCAGCGGCTCCAGCTTTGCACCCAGGGACCCTCCGTTGGGAGCTCCCCCCCCCGCCCCAGCAAAAAATTATTAGAAATTTTTACCAACCTGGTACAGTTTTAGAAATTATGCACTGCTGCCTTTTGACCTTAAGTAAGATCCCCAGAATCCACCTTTCCCATTCCATCCTGGGAGGAGGCTCTCAAACACCGAAAGGGGAATTTGGTGCTGAAATGGAGCTGAAACTGCACCAGGATTTGTGCAGCGGACAGCTGCTTCTCTGGGTGTCCTGGCAAGCACCGGGCACGTGCCACATCAACCTGCCTGCTAGGACCAAAGGCTGTGCTTGGACGTACCTGCTTCAGCCAGATGTGGCCACTCCAGATGTTCCGCAGCATCTGTAAGGGCTCAGCAGGGAAACACCTCGTCACCTGCCCTACTGTCCAGCAGCAGCCAGCTTCCAAACAGCGCTGGAAAAAATCACAGTAAAATTAGCAATTACAGCAAAGCTGTACTGTTTGGAGCAAGGACCGGTGGTGGTCTCTCACAGGAGGATGTCCAGGGTGAAAAGCTCACCTGGTCCTACCTCTGCTGCCACCTCCCTTCTCCACGCACATTTAGCAAGTGCCAAGCATCCAAGTGTAATGGAAGAACTCCAAACTGAAAACGTTAAAGTCTTGCCAAAAAGTTCTTCACCGTGTTTTTACTGGCTCCGGGCAGGAGGAGCAAAACCAGCAGTGACAACAACCAGCTGATAGCAGAAAAGTTGTATGGTGACGTTATCTGGACCAAGCAAGAACTGCTGAGCTAAACAGAACAGCAGTCAAAATGCATTTGGAGAAGCACCAGTAAGAGTTAATGGGAGATGCTTGGACAGAAGCTGTCAGGTTTTCCACTTAAAAGGGAAGTAGTAACTGCAGCTCCCGAACCACACATGTACGTACTCTGACTCCAGCCTGTGTCCCACCTTGCGCTTATCCCCCCGACAGCATTAATCCCCACCCCATCCCCTTGCCCAATGCATGAAGCAAAATAGCAGCCGATGATTTAAATCTTCCCTCGGTGATTCGTGCAGCCGTGAATCGGGGCACCGCTGCTGCTGCCAGAGCCTCGCCTGGAAGAAGGGCGAGGGCTATTGCAAGCAAAGCCGTGGGTTGCACAGGGCGATTGCTTCACGCGCTGCTGCGAAGGAAGCGTTCGTCAGCGCTCAGCAGAGCGGGAGAATGGAGGAGAGCTTTCCCAGCTCCGTTTTGGGAGGTGGGAGGAATTATTTGGAGGAGCAGAAGAGAACAATGAGCTGGGACGCCAAGGGAAAGCAGTGCCTGCTGCCCTGGCCTGTTTTGGCACCGGGAAAGCATTGTGGTCCTTCTCTCAGACCCACCTACCATCAGCCTGCAGTGAGTGCAGCACCTTCATCCCATTCCCAGGTTTCCCACTTACTTTCTGCTAGAGCCAAGCTGCTGGTCATGGTCCAGAGGGGCTGGCGGGACGCAGGCAGCAGTCGCACGGCTGCAGGGGGGGCTGCCCTCACTGCAAAACTCATGCTGGGGCATCCTCCCCGGCTGCAGAAACGGCCGCTGCCAGCCCAAACCTCTGCCTAGCCTGCACATTCGCTGCTGGTTTATCTGCGCATCGACATCAATAACTGAAGCCAAAGTACCTCCAGAAAGCCGAGAAACATTTTTGCGTCATGATGAGCTCCACGCAGCTAGATCCTTTGTCAACTCTCATTTTTTAAGTACTCTGCAGTACATTTCTTGTCTTAACGCTGGGGACTGAAAATCCTCAGGGCTCCTAGGGCTGAAGTCTGTAGTCATCAGAGATTTCTAAATTTCAGCATGGGACAATTCATTCTTATGGAAAAATAAGACATCTTTAAAGACAACTGTAACAGATTCTTGGTCAAAGCGGGGATTGTTCTGCAGAGAACCAGGGCAGTGATTACACACCAACCAAAGCATTGCAGGGCAGTATGAGACCCTAGACTATCACTGGTTTAGTGATAGAGATAGTTTAGTTTAGGCATCCACTTTTGGCAAGGATGGTCAGTCGTTACATGTGGCTGCAGACCAGTGGATTTGCCCCTCTATTTATCCAAATCTCAATTCAGAATGAACTGGAATATAAATGTGGTCAAGCGAGTCAGTGCCCCCACCTTGGGCAATAGGATGAACGAATAGGTTTCCCCAACTATTGCTCTCCTCCTGTATAATTGGATAATGTTGACAATTATTTGGGCTCAGAAAGCCTTCCTGACCTTCACCAGAGTCCCGTCCCTTACTTTAAACACCACAATTAGTACAGGTACAAGAAAGCATTATCGAATCAAGCAAGGAGAAGCTGTCCTCAAGGGTGCTAGAAATGCAAACACCTAGGCCATTATGTTATTAAGACTATATGGATTTGCAGTCCCCATATGTTCAGCTTGGCACGTAACAATTTTGACCACCAACATCTTGTTCCTGGCTCGCGTACGCTCATTGCCAGGCACTGCACAACCCCGAGCAACACAGGAGGGAGGTTTTGTTTGTGAAGAGGGGTCACAAACAAGGCTGGAAAGCCCCGGCAGGACATTTTAGGTGGTTTGAGCTTTACGACAGGTTCAGGACAACAGGCCAAAATAAAGCACCTCAGGAACCAACTCCTAACGACTTCTCCAAAATAGGAGCCAAGGGAGGGCTCTGCTTTTCCATGAAGAACCTTTTCCCAGCACCCGACAAGTTCCAAGGTAAAGCAAGTTTCATGCTACATGTAACAACAAATGCACAAATGAGAATAGTTTGGGCATCTGGCAAACACCAGGCTCCATCCCCACGGTCCCTGCCCAAGCAGATCGATCAGCCCTAGACTGCTGCACAACCAGAGCTCTTCAAATTACCATGTAGTTAAAAGGCAAACCAAGAGCAGAAAGAGAAAAGTGACACAAAACCCTGGCATTTGAACATGCTGAACTCTGCCATTATTCATTCCCGACAGTATTTCTACCTGGGTTTTCCTGCTGAACTGTTATAAAGTACTGGGGTTTGCAGTTTTTTTCCAAGAGTATATAAGTCACTAAGCATCACTGCAAGTTGCTAAGTATCTTTAGCCAGCACTTATGTACATCCAGAGCACTTGGGAAAACAAGCCCTTGGTTCTCAGCATGACAAGACTGTACTTATATACTATGAAATATGAAATAACTGTGAAATTATCCCCATTGGGCAAACCTTGTTTTTGTTTTCAGTGGCAGTAGGCAGGCAGAAGTCACTTAGTTTTCCCTCTCCCAGCACACACAGTCAAAACCTTGCTGTTCATCAGATGCATTCATGCTTCTTCTTCCCTCTCTCTCATCTCCCAGAGCATTAGTGCTTCAGAAGAACTGAACAGCGAACAGGACGTCGCTTCACAGGCAAAGCAGTAAATACCAGGCATGGGTAGCAAAGATCTTACTGCTGCAGTTTTGAGACACCTAATTAATTCCAAAGTAAGCTTTGAAACAATTAACAGTACAAAGAGAAGTGTTACTTAAATGACACCTGGGCCATTCACTGCTTACACAGGGCGAAGAGCTTAAGGGTTTCTGAATGCTTCCACGGTAAGAGGAAAAACACCTTTGCAAGCCAGCGGTGGCTCGCTAGAGCCCACGGGTGACAGGTTAAACCAAACGTCACTTCAGCATTGCTGCATCTTGTGCGTGCAAAGGACATGTTCATCTGGATGTCCTTGTTTGCTATGTCTCTGGGACTTAGGGAGGTTCATCGTGCAGGAAAGGTCAGGTCCAGTTGCTGCCTATTCCTTCTAACAGCTCGAGTAAAAAGCTATGTCTTTGGAAAACCGAGTTCCCCAGTACAAAGGCAAACTGAAGTCTGAGACAGAGCTGGTTTAGAGCAACACAAGATTTGGGTTGTAGCTCTAGAGCTACTGGCCCTGCCCCTGCGTTACCCAGGGCTGGCGGCTGCTATTTGCTTTGCAGGAGCCTGACCCTGCCCTGCCAGTTCATGGTTTTGGTTTCACAGCAGATGATCCTGGCTGGGGAGGGAGCAGTTTGCCCAGTTGGATTTCCTCTTAAAAAAACTCCAAACAACCAAACAAAAACCCCCACTCTACACAACGCTTCAGGATAGTGTAGTTTCCCACCTACAAAAAGGCTTGTTTTTTTCCAAAGAGATCTGGTTAAGAAGAAATACCTGATCCTCCACAGCTTCTCATGCTCTTGCATGGCACAGAAACTGAATTTTAAGTACACAGAATATGCTACTTGCTGTGCCATTCACCTTTAAGACACAACTCATTCACAAGAGAGGAAAACACAGAGACCTTGCTCTGGACTGGCAGTAAGTCACAGCAGACAGCCCTTGTCCTGGATGACCAAAGCTCCTAGATATACTAACCCAGAACTCGCACACCAAACCACAGCACCGCACTCAGACGAAGGAAATCAAGAGTTCATGCTGGTAACACAGAAGAAACCCTCATTCTGAAAGAAAAATGGCATACCATTATTTGCATTAAAGGCACAACACCTCCCTTGGTTTCACCCAACCATGGCTAAGAGTAGTTTTTATGGTGCAAAACGTATCGTCAAGCTACTAAAAATATCAGGGTATTTACCAGAATAGCTTAGTAAATGCCTTTTTAAAAAGGTATGCAATTCCTTCCCAGTGGCCCATTTTACTCAAATAAGCCACAGAAAAATTGTATAAAAAGATTTATTGAAATTCATCAATGACAAACAGACATAAAACTCAAAGTTTGGCTCTTCTGGGAAAAAAAACTGTTGCAAATGTATTTATACAGATGAAATATTGACTAGGAAATACAAGTCACTTCTAAAGCTATTTTAAAGAGGGATATGAAAGTAAAACTGTACATTCACTAGGTATTTTCAGTCATTTTACTGACTTCCACTAGGTAAGAAAATACAATTTTGTATTAGTATCTCGTGCTTGAGTGTATGAAAAGAAACCTCCTACCCTACATGCTGAACTGCCTCCTGTATTTAGGTTTGTAAAAATTTTCAAAGTATATAGCACAAGTGGAAGTAGTTTCTCATCACTTAAAATTGACTAGGTGTTATATATTACAGACCAAAATAGTACACACCTTATTTAAAAGGGTTGAAACATTTTTTTATTACAATTGTCAAATTCATTTCACTAGTAACTCAGGAATTAGGAACACTTTTTATATATATTTATATATATATTTAAATGCCTGCCATTTTCAGTGTATTGGCTATACCCTAGCCAAAAAAAAAAACCCAAACCCAAAAACAAACAGAAAGGAAAACACACAACACACAGGGCAGGGAGGGGGGATTGCAAATTCACCCCACAAACCAGATCCAAAGGAACACCCCAAAAAAACCCAACAAAAACATTTGGTCACTATTTACATACAGCAAAATAAAAGGTACCTACAAAAGCAGGGAAAGCATTGGCTGAAAATGGCAGTCATTCACGGACAGGCAACAAAGAAATCACTTTATCAATATGCCATTCTCACACCTGTTGCTGTGGAGGGATGCTTTGCCTAAATTTGCAGCATCCCCCAAAAAAATGCTTATAATGTATTTAGTGACTGGCAGCGGTGGAAAAATCCCAACAACCAATGCTATTCAGCTGTCTCAGAACAGAGTATGTGTATTTGGGGTATCATCAACTGATCTTAAACTTTTTTTGTCTTTTTTTTTTTTTTTTCCAAAGATGTCAAACTATCCACTCCAATAATAAGAAACAAATTACCACTTGGTTTATACTTACTATTGCAGTTACAGGGACTGAGAGAGGGCCACAAAGAAAAAATTTAAAAAGAATAGGAGGAGGAGTGGCAGTAAAAATAGTATTTTATTCCCTTGCCCACCCAGTCTGCTTCTCCCTCTCGTTCCCACAGCAACATTAAAATCAGAAAAAAAAAAAAAGAAAAAAAAAAGAAAAAAAAAGAAAAAAAAAGGTTGGGGGTGTGGGGAGGGAAAATACAGGGTAAAAACAGTCAAATCACAATAGGAAATTTTCAAAATAGGTTATTCAGTTTAGTCATCTTCATCCCCTTCATCTTCAGGTTCTCGTTTTCTCTTCTGTCCCCGTTCTTCATCTAGAAAATAAAACACAACTTGAATCACATGAGTGCTCCCTCATACTGCTGAGGAGTTGAACAAGTTCAACAAGCTTCTACTTTGGCAACTGGCTTACTATCAAAGGAGCAGGAATACAAACAGAAGCCTGTTTTTTAGACAATGGTATTTGACTTTTTAAAAAAAAATTATTATTATTATCTCTAGCAAAAACTGGATTGCTGCCATACCAGGCTCTTCTTCATCTTCATCGTCATCTACCTCACCATCGTTGTAGCCTTCTTCATCCTCCTGAATTAGAAAAAAATAAAGGAAGGATTAAAAAAAGTCAGTTTCAGTACAGGACCCTTCACAATTTGGCAATATCCAAAAGCATTTTACAACAGAGAGAAAGTCCTTGAAGTATCTTAAACAAAAACCAAACAAAAAGGTAGACACTTCCCACACACTTATATAAGTGCGGTTTTTTGCTACAGTGTAACTGCACCCTGGCCCAAGTTTCATTGCAGAAAATCAGAAACAATCATAGCAGCCACTTCTAGCTTCAAGTCTTCAGTGAGAATATGGTTTTATACTTCACGCTGATATGCAGCTGCAAATTTTCTTAAGATGTCCTGAGTTTAGTAAAACTTGACTGGTCAGTAGGAGAAGGCACATATTCTAGGGGTAGAGAGAGTTAAAACACAAACAGACACCTCCAGAGCTTGAGGAGCTGCTGTTGGTTTTGAGAAGAGGCTGACCAACCATTCAGGAGTGGCAGTTAAGTATCTAAGATTGTTTGACTGGCTGAGAGATAATATTACCTCCTACAGTCAAATTTTAGCCCCATCCCAGTGGTTCTGCTAACAGCAAAGTCTCAGCAGACTGTGACAGGCTCAGCACACCCTACACACTGGAGCTGGACTATGCTAAGAATTTAAGCATCCTGAGGAATCACAAGGTACATGCCCAACGAGGAACATCGGTCTGAGAGCACAGTCAGTAATTCACGTACCACTCTCTTGTCTGTATGGAGGCTGTAACCCCAGCCCTTCAAAGGCCCCACAAACTAGGTCTGCAGACGTTCCCGATAGTATTTTTGACATCAGCCCAATAAATAGAATGATTTCATGTCAATGGTCACTAGATGGCAGCTGGCTCATAGACAGGCATGCCTCAAAGCCCCCCCCCCCCCCGCGATGCTTCTCAAGTAAAAAAGCAAGCACACGCTTGAAGTACTCAAAGCCTCCAATATTTGGTCCATTTCTTGCCCAACTATTCCCAGTTAGAGCATGTTCACTCTACACCCATTATTAACTGCATAAATCCTTACCTCCTCTTCTCCGCTCACATCCTCCTCTTCTCCTTCTTCTTCTTCCTCCTCATCTTCTTCGTCTTCTACTACCTGAGCATCATCATCATACTCCTCTTCTATACAGTCAAACAAGATTAACCACTCAGACATTTAAAGTTTACTTTTTTTCCAACATTGCCACCTGAGATGTGACCTCCTAGCGACACAAGGAGCAAATGGAAAGCATTGCTTAAGGTCTGTACAGAATTAAAGGTAGCTCTCCAGCTGCTAGACAGGACTAGATGTAGTCCTGTGCCTCTTTAGCCTAGTGACAGGGTAGTGTGGCAGCTGCACCCATGGTCTGAACTGCTCAAGGGCTGCAGGGGCCTTGACAGTAAGTCACAGCAGCCTCAGGACTGCTTTAGCTTCAGCTGCTCCAGTTCCCACTACTAATACGCATTTCTGAGCCCATGGGACACTTGCAGCTCTTCATCTGCAAGTGTTCATCTGCTCCCACCAGGGATAGAGCAGACCTTGACAAGCCAACCATGCACTGGGAACCCTCCCCAAGGGACAGCCCTTGCCTTTATGCTGCCAGAGCAATACAAGAGGCTCACACACAATCCATCTTATGGGTTTGCAATCTCTTTTCAAGAGTAAAGAGATTAAATGCAACTAGTCCAAGCAACAAGCCAGAAATTGTTTTTCCATGCTGCAGGAATGGTGTTATGGAGCTTTTTCATGCATTTGAATACAGGCCCAAACTTGTACTCTGATGAGGAGAACCTGTCCCTGCTGAACCTGCGTGCTGCTGGCTGAATGCACTGCTCTGCCAGGCACTGCTGCAGCACTCACCCCTCTCACCAGAGCTCACATTCAGCACTCGAGGGAAAAGTGCAAGTCCAGCTATTCTGCTTTTGCTGTGCAGCTGGGTTTGAAGAGTCTAGCAAATTCCCCAAACTCAGCCGGATACTCATCCGACTGGTACACTGATGCCTCTGAGTGCAGTCTGCCGGGGAGGCAGAACAGCACCTACAGCGCAGTGGGACCCACCGTACATTTTCCTAACACTAAAAAGTTGCTTGCTGCCTAATTAGTGCCTTTCACAGAGCTTGCCCCAGGCAGACTTCAATACATACACTCTCCTCTCTTCTGCCTTATCTCAACTAGTTCATTTTGTCCTCACAGGGCAGCTACAAACTCCTATTAATGCCTTGGCTCCTTTACTTAATTCCTTGACTCAGCTACTTTTTTCTATGCCCGGTCTGGTTCTCCACCCTACCCTTCTCCATCAGTCTCTACACAATTGCTCATACCTCCCTGACTACACAGTTCCTGGAAAACTGCAGTGTGAGCACGCCATCCTTTCTTACCCATTTCTGCCTTATGTCCTCATCCCCTGGGGTGTACTGTTCCCTGAACTCTTTCAGGGTCTTACTCCTCCTGGTCCCTGTCTTCTACCACCCTTTCACTCCCTACCTTTCGCTAGAGATAAGACTGAGATAGTAGCTCCTTCAGGCCCTGCCCATCTTCTCTCCCCTCATTCCTTCAGAGGAAGCTGATATACTTCTGCTTCACATCAATTGGAAGGAGCTGCTTGAGGACACCCTTCTCCTGCCACCAAGTCAGAGCTGGAAGCAATATGTACCACGCAGCACAGCAATCTTTCAACTTACGTACACCAAGTAGCACAAATTCACATACCGTCTTCATCTTCCTCGTCGTCGTCTAAGCCCTCCACGTACCCCTCTGCATCAGAGTCCGGTGCTTCTTTGTCATCTCGATCTTTCACTAGAGATAAGACTGAGAAAGTAGCTCTTTCAGGCCCTGCCCATCTCCTTTCCCCTCGTTCCTTCAGAGGACACTGAGGTACTTCTCCTTTACATCAGTCAGGAAGGAGCTGCTGAGAACACCCTTCTCTTGCCAACAAGTCAGAGCTGGAAGTAAAATGTACTAGGCAGCATATCGATCTTTTAACTTACGTACACTAAGTAGCACAATTCACATACCATCTTCATCTTCCTCCTCGTCATCTAAGCCCTCCACGTAGCCCTCTGCATCAGAGTCCGGTGCTTCTTTGTCATCCCGATCGTAGCCATCGAGGTATGTGAGTTGCGGGAGAAGATTGAATACGTTTTCTCTATAGTCGTTCAAGTTGGTTACCTCGCAATTGAAAAGATCTAGACTCTTCAGGTTTTCTAACTTTTTCTGCAAAGAAAGAAAAGTCTCTGAAGTTCAGTGTTACAATAATTCTCTACACAGCAGAGAATGCAATAGCAGCCAGAGTTTATGTGCTCAAGAGCTTCCCATGACAAAAGGGTCATTTTCATCTCTGCCTGCTAAACTGGTGTGGAACAGCAATCTGCAATGCCTGGCCATTGCTGCTTTGGTATCTGAGAGCAGAAAATGCCCTCTCTCAAGATCAGCATCTTGCAAGTAGAAGACTGAAGTCTGGAAAGAGGTAATGGTGCAAAAATCACACATGCTGCAAGGGGCCAAGCTAAGAATAAGTAATAGTCCACTCAGTTATCCCAAAAGTACAAGGCAAGATATTGGAGGCAGCAGCCAGGTCTATTTAAACTACTATTTTCAATGGAAGAAGAAACAGACTATTCTTTGGACGCAAGGATTTTGCTAAGAGAGATTTTAAAAATTTTAATGACTGTACCTTAGCCTTTGGAAAAATGAAAAAAGGCTTAGAAATTGAACAGGAATTAAATTCCTGGTTTTAGTTTGGGGTTTTTTTTGAGGTAGTCTGCACTGCCCACAGCACTTCAAAGTACTAACAACAAAAGCACAAGCAGTTGAGGATTTGTATCAAGTCTTATGAAATATCTCCCTTCTGGAGTTCAGTCTGTAAAGCAACGGTGACATCAAGAAAACAATAAGCCTGAAACTGGGAGCAGTTACAATCTTCTCTCTCATTTGTTTGTTACATGAGTTTAATGGCTCTGCTCTTTCCTTCTGCTGGGGGAAAGGAGATCCAAGATGGACTCGTCTGAAAACTGCTCCTTGAGACATTTTAAGAGCAAGCATTTGGGAAACAAGCATGAGCCAAAACTCTTCCTTTCTGGAGAGCAAAGGGCACACAAACCAAGAACTAGAAAACAGCATTACCAGAATTGACACTTCGATGCTTTTTGGAACCGTGACCTGACAAACTTGCTCTCAGCACTTGAAATAAGAAGTATAATGACCGTGAGCAGGAGAGGCAATGGAAACCAGCAGGAATATGTTGGAAGCTCAGCAACCTCTGCCCAGCTGCAGCGAGCAACCCCATACAGAGGCACATGGTGCTGCAGCTGGCCCCTGCCACCATCAGCACACGCTGCACCCCTGGGCAGAAGTGGTGGCTGGTGATTTTTAGACCCAACACTTCAACAGAAAACACACCGAGCTGAAGCAGAGCATCTGGGAGAGAGACCCGTAGCCCACACCACCGTGGAAAGCCATGGTTGTCCCTGCAGAGCCCGTGGGGAAAGCCCAGCCCCGGCAGCGGCCAAGCCGCAGCCACTAGAGGGAAGCAGCCACCGCTCATGCTGCCGGCACAGCCCCAGGGCAGGGCTGAGAGACAGCCCGGGGCCAGGCTGAGCCCCACAGCAACCTGGCTGGAGAGATAAGCACGGAGGACACTCCACTGCAAGCTGCTTTGGGACCTTCCAAGCCCATAATGCCTCTACTCGTCACAAAATGGGGTTTGATTTCACCCTGTACCGCATCAACTTACCAGAGGTTCTATTGTACCGAGATCTTTTATTTTGTTGCCGCTTAGATTTAGATGCGTGAGGTTTGGACACTTTTCTGCCAACACTTCCAGTCCTCCTGAGATTCTGTTGTCGCTTAGCTCGAGCTAAAAGGCACATAAACATCTTGAGTTTTTAGTGCAAACATGTACCACAAAGCAGTCTGGTCAGCTACATTACGTTTTTATACAAACAACTATTTGACACATGCAGTAGAGTGCAAAGAGGGAGGGATATGGCATAGGACATTTTATTTACCTTCTTAAGTTTGTTTAACTTTGGTAAGTTTGCAACTGAGGTTAAGCCTACGTTGATTGTACTTAAGAATTCCAGCTCTTCAAATTCATCTGTGAGGCCTTCGATTTTGCCTTCGTATGACCTACAGTTGTCAAGAACGAGTTCTTTAACCTGGAAAGAGAACAATGCAAAATGTGCATAAAACGTTCTGCATGGAGGATAAAGATTTCACTCACAAGCAAAGGATGGCACAGATCAGGCAAAAATGAAAGGTATTCCAGTAAACTGGCAAGTATGGGAAAGGTTACTTTCAGTCTCTGATCCCTACTTTTGCTAGCATGGTTAGCGCTGTTTCAGAAACAGAGGTATTTGGCTTTGCTTCAACTGCCCACCTTGGTATTGTTCTAAGAACAATGTAAACTGTTCAAAAACATTAATCCTGATTTAACCAATTTGACTGTTAGAAGTAGCATCGTATTTAGTAAATGCAAGCAATAAGCATTCTAAAAAATATAAACCCAACCTATTTATTTTTAAACTAACCTACAACTTTGACACTCCATACAACTCATGTGCTATTACAATGCACCATCAGCTGTTAAAATAGCTTATTTCTGCATGCAAAAATTATTTTAGCTTTTCAAGCGTGGAGAGATTACTGTCTCCTCAGACACTCCTGAAACCTAAAGAAGGTACTAGTGATCCTAAACCAGGTCTTGTTGCAGTCCTCCACCCTCACCCCTCCTCATTAGAGTAGCTTAATAATGATAGTACTTTAGGGGAAGATCTCCAGAGAGGCAACTCCTTTCTTGGGGAACTGCAAGGGATGTGTAGGATGATGCTGGCAGGGGAGGTTCCATGAGCATTGCTGCTGCAGCAGCAGTATACCCCTTATCTCCCTCGCCCTGTTGCAGCAGGGAGGCTCCAAGGAAGAGGTGATGATAATGTCCCCATGGGCCTGAGCAGCACAGGACCTGCCCGACAGCCAAAGCTGGACAGCCACACGGGTGTGTACAGTAAGTTACAGCCTGCAGGGTTTTGTTGTTGTTTTTAAACAGAGCACCAGTCTTTTTGCAGGTGCTATCTTCAACAGACACCAAACAACAGCATCAATACAAAAGAGCCCCTAAATACGCCCCAGCCTGAATAAGACTGCTCCTTTTCACCCTAAACCCAGGTCAGCCTTATGGGATTCAAGTCCCTCAGTAGCCAGCATGAGCTTTCCTGAGCTGTGGGGAAGCTCTGCCACTGAAGACTATGACTCCACAGGAAGGGCCCACCCATTTGGGGAACATGCAGACATTTTCACACCGACGGAGAATTTCTGGGGATTATTTCTCCCCTATAAAACACCTAGGAAAATCCATCCTTCTGCGTGCACTGCAGACTCCATCCCGTGCTTGAGGTTTGTTTACAGGTTTGGAGAGGGAGGGAGTGGTGCTTTATGCTGAGGATGGGATAAAAGAAGTCTGCAGTGTATGCAGAAACACGAAGCAACTCTTCGTTTCACACCAAGGACAGTTAATGTGCAAATATTTAATTTTCTTAATTTTTTTATTACTGTAATCCCACTGCTCAGAGAAGAATCCTATGTAGTTTTATAGCTCCAAATAACATCCCTAGATTTCTAATTAAATCCCAGGCACTGAAGTCAATAGGGAAGTCAGCCCAAAGCAACACAAGAGTACAAGTGATTCATTGAGAGTAGGAGGACCAGCGTTAGACAGGAAATATATTTTCCAAGACTCTACAATTTTCCTAGAAGAATTATGATAGGGAATGACTACACAAAAGTCTTCCAGAAGAATTTTAGACTGGTTAGAATAAACCAAAGATCCAGGTCAAATGCTCCTGATCCCAAATACATCTATTCCACTGGGGGAAAAAACCCCAAACAACAAAACCCCAAAAGCAAACCACAGAAAACCCCCTTTGCTTTGAAACTTAGACAGCAGGAAAGCCATTTTAAAGGCAAACATGCATATCTTCTTACTGTAACACTATTTAAGTATCAGGATCCTCCAGCGAGATCAATTTGGGGACAAACACACGGTTTTCTCAGTCATCTGCTTCACACACACACAGAGCTCCCGCCAAAAAAATTAAAGAAGGAAAAAAAAAGTAAAATAAAAGAAGCTCCACCCCAAACCCAGACCATACAGCAGCTACATCCCCCCTTCCTTGCTCACCAGCACACGAGGCCCCTGCCTGCCCCACTATCTCCTCTGGCCAGCGAGGTGGCTCATCAGGGTACCCACCTAACAGACACATTTTGGAGCAAGGAGGGTAAAGGAGCACAGCTGCACTGTGCCACATGAGAAGAGGTTCTCTGCAGAAAGGGGCTGATCTCCATGCTGTGTAGAGCGCAAGGTCTTTTTTTGCCTTATCCTCTTTGCAAACTAAGTTTGCAAGAGCACACATAGGAAGATGAAGCAAGGCAGAAGGGATTTCAGGGAAGGAAAATGCTCACAGCTGCAGCAGCCAGCACAGTTTAGAGTCAGCTCTGGCTCTGAGTTATGCAGCAGACCAAAGGCAGAAAGTGAAGCAGCGCCTAAACCTCACACTGAGAAAGAAATGGCATCTGCCCTCACTCCAGGAGGTGGGACATCCATCCCTTAATCCTCCCCAAACGCAGGATGGAGAAGAGGCAAACAGGGAATCGGACAAAGCTTCCTCAGGGGTAGAGAAAAGATTTGATGGGGAGCTGGAAATAGCAATGGATGCAGAAAAAAAAACTCTTTAATATGGTGGCAGAAGAGCCAACTGGCTTCTACTTTTAGTTTGCTCTTTTGAGGGCAAGACTGCGGTTTCCTCTCTGCTTTTCAGAAAACTTTGATACATAACTGCAATGCTCTCTTCTTCACTGCACCCAGTACCAAGATACTGGGCAAAGGTACAGTCAAAACAACTCCACAGCAAAGCTATCATGGAATAAAACCAGCCAGGTCTGCAAGTGGTAGAAAGCTTGGTTGAATCGAAGAGCTCGTTTAGGAAAACAGCAGGGTACAGGCTCCTAACACTCCCCAAGTGCAATCACAGCAACATAATTTCAGTGCTTATGTGGTCAGAGGTATATTAATACACTGAATTGCTTCTGAAAGAACATGACTTCATAAAATAACATTCAAGACAAAATTAAGACGGCTTCATGTTCTAAGAGATTTAAGAATCCTGTAGAAAATACACGCATGCAAAAGGAGGACAAACTGGGCTTGCGGGGCTTCTCCCAACTTCACTGCCACATGCGCTCTCACTGCTGCATCACACCCAATTCTCTTGCATACAGTACAAGCAGTAGAAACTACCACCAGCTTATACAGTTTTTCTAAGTATTAAAATTACCCTGCAGCTCTTTGCCCATAGCCTCTCAGCCTGTGCTCCTGCGCATCCCACTCTCCTCCACTTCCACTCTCACTTGCCATCTCCTCCTTAAGAACTTGCTGTTTTGCAGCTAACTGGAGAGGGCACTGCCCTCCAAGGCCCCTCTGGATTATTATCAGGACACTTTTCCAATGTGCTGGCTGCTGCACAGAGGTCTCTTCTCAAACCTTAGCCCCTTTGTGAGGATGTTGGGCCTCATCCAGGCGTACTACAGCCTTGACAGTTAGTGAGCTCATAACTGTGTCAGTATACAGAGAGGGAGAAGTGGAAAGGTGACCTTAGTAAAGCTACATTCCATCTAAAACAGCTCACTACCACGAAAGTATGACAGAAGGACTAAAACCCTATTCCTCGTTTGTTTTTCAGAAGTCTTTGTAATCTTAAGGAAAATTCCACCTCCTGAATCACTCTCCAAACATCTACTGAACTTCCCTGAAAATGCACAGTAAGACTACAATTTTTACATTTCTTTCTCATCTTCTGTCACTGAAACACAGAATAAACCTTTGCCTGATGCAAGTAGCCTGGGCGAGCACCCTTTCTGAGTCTTGTTATATACCTGAATGAAATGAGTGGGCCTCAGCTGGTCTGAACCAATTTAGCTGTATCACACTGCAGTCTCTGTAATAGTACAGACACAGAGATAAGCCATCAGAATTAAGGAGGACAATCTGAACACATTTGGAGAGAGAGGCTAAGGGAGTTAAGTGTCCTCAGCTAATTTGTGTTTAGCTGCATCAAAGACAAGAAGATAAAACTTGCAGAAGTTGTGTATTATTAACTGTATCACTGTCTATACCACAATGCATAAGCAAATCAAAGCACTAATTGGAGTAAGTACTAATATGAGTACTAGTAAAAGACAAACCACATGACCTTTACTTATCTTCACAAAAAACTGCTACATAGTGAGAAACAGTAGAAGAGCAACACGCCATAGGCAACCAACCACCATGAACAACACCGCAACACTTAACCTAAACAGCTAAGAAGGCACCCACAGGTGAACATCGAGCAGAAAGCCTAACACGTGGGTGGCTAGGTTGGTTCCCGTCGTACGTAACCATGTCTTCGATAGCATTTAAGATAAGGCACCATCAGGTGCTTGGGTAGGGATATTACACATCGTACACCTTCAACTGTCAAGCGTTTCGCACCCAGCCTACCGTTCTGCCTTGTCCTCTGCGTTTCTGGAGTGGCTCAGGGCTCTGCTACCCTCTCCCCAATTCAGTGTGTGCCATCTGCTCCTACTCCAAGCATACTTCTGCTTGAGCGCTGCTGTGTGGTTTTCTGGTTATCAGTCCTTAGTTTTCAGCAGTCACATGTAAGCAAGGAGACTGCTGCTTCTTCAACAAACTCTTCAGACCACGCGCCTTGGACCTGTTCTCCTGTGGTCATCCCAGTTTCTATTTCTGATAGTCCCAGATGCCTTCAGCACATGACATGACATCACATCTCTGTTAACACATGCTGCACTGTTAACTGTGGATTACAGCATCCCCTATATCTCTTCATGACTTTCATGACATCACACTCTACATTACTGCCTGCTTGATAACCAGGGACTCTTATCTTTTTTCTACTATGGTTACTGCATTAAGCTGTGTTCCCAAATGCATATACAACATCCTTAATATAGCCATGTCGTATACTGCAAAACTCCAACCTACTCCTAGGGTAAGAACAGGCAACCATGTGTAAGCAGCCACTGGCTTTCATGGCAGTCATCTCAAGTGACATCTGGGACTCACTCACTGTGCACAGTACCTGGCACACCTTCCCCTACCTCC